TGACAACTATTTGTCATGCTCACAGAGATGCCACAGTACAAGAGAGGACATACCTACATTTTTTTTTTAACTGAGAATACTATTGCCGCCAGAATACACCTTTCCTTGCACAACCCTCTCTGCTACTGCATGAAAAAAAATCATTTTTCAGACTGGACCTTTTCTCAGGAAGGGTTACTAAAGATACTAAAAGCCGATGAACTGTATTAAATTCGCAGTGTCCTGTGGGCTGAAAACCCAGTTCAATGATCACCGCATGCGGCCGTATCCTTGTGTAACCTGCAGCCCAAGTCGAGCCCAGCACAGAGAGGCCGTAAAGCCACTCCTGTCAGGGGGGAGTGCGGAGATGGGGAGATGGGGAGTCTAGCACTCTTCCTGAGTGGCCCAGGGAGGGACTGAACCCTGAGCCTTGCTGCTCAGTCTAACAGCCATCTAGTCCCATAGTTGTGCCTGGACCCTAGCTTTGTGCCTGTGGGTTTCATATCAGAATGATTCTAAATGTGAGGAGGCCATTTGATAGCTTATTGATCCAAAGATCTCGGGGTTTCCTCTTTGACAAGATGGCTGGGTAGCTTGTTCTATACTCCCACAACCCTTTGCGTAAAGTAATACCTATTCTGAGTTTTAAAAAGCTGAGAACAGACTTGCTCACCCTGTCTCCCACCCAAAACCCAGTGCTAGTTCCTGCATGAGAACACCCATGCTGCAGTCTTCTAATGATTTGTGTGGCATTTTACAGGAAAGGGTTTAGAATGACTCCAACTGAGTAGATTAAGACCTAGAACCGAAGAACACGTGCTGAATATCCTGGGGAGTACCAGTAGGTACTTCTGGAATTGTTTAGCTATCTACACTCAATTGCAGGGAAATTGTGCCATCTCTCCCCGATTCATTGGGTATCACGCGTCCTGCTGCATGCATTTCAAACAACTGAATATCTGTTCCTTGCGGCTCTGATACCAAATGTATTTAAAACCTTCCAGAAGTAGTGTTCCTCTGAAACTGGGTCTCTCAGTGCTACCCACTCACAAAAGTCACTGTGAGGCTAAAGAAACTGGGGATATTTTTAACAGCAAAATTACTCTGGAAAAGGGGAATTGAGGATGTACTCATTTACCGCTGGTAACCAGCTGAGCAACTGCGCTTGGCGCAACACGTCATGTGTTTACACTGTCCTCTGGAGAGAGACAGTGAGTCCTAGTGTGACGAATGACCTTCAAAGGACATCCATTAAATGAACAGAGCAAGTATGCAGCTTTTTTCTAAAATTAGAATGCCTGAAACCTCAGCGATGCTGTGTTCTCAGAGTTGATGTTTTCAAGGCAAGGACATGGTTTGTCTTTAGACTCACTGTCTAGTCTGATTCAAAGCAATATCAGCCTGTTCTATTCTGCTATAGCCGGACAGTTCCCCTTCCTTACTGTCTGCATCCTTATCACCACGGGGGGTATAAACAGTACCATGATACGGAAACCCTGCCATTGCCTGGCTTCAGAGTTAATACAACCATGACAAAACACCAAGCACGAAACGGAGCTGACGCAAACCCCATTGCGGCTGGCGGCATGAGCTTGTGCATTTAGCAGTTCCTGATGGAGTCGGATATGCACAAGACACTTATATCAAAGACATGGAAGTACAGCTGAAGAACTGCACAATTATACTGTTTGTGGTTGCTTTTGTGTATATACTTCATGGGAAGTTTGGAGGTTAAAAGTAGCAGAATACTGAAGCCCTTCATTAGATCTAGAGGCCGTCGGAGCCAAACTCTTGTTGCCAGGAGTAAGGAGGTTATTAGCTGTGGCAGTCCAGGGTCTGCCCACTCCTGACAGCTAGAGACTGGGCTCTCCCAGCAGAGTTTGTTCCGTCAACACAGGGGGAGGGCGGGGGGGAGCATTGTGTTGAACAGCTGGAGGCAGAGAGCCAGCCTACAGAACAACTTCTCTGCAAAGGGCTCTGTTCTGCAGGCGACTCCCCCTTCGTTTCTCTCATGTGGAGGCTGCTGTCTCCTGCGTGACCTGAAATCCCCTCCTCCCTCTCTTTCTCCGCTGTTAGCGAGTGAAGAGGGAAGATCCCGGGAAAAGATGAAACCGGTTTGAAATCCCAAGGCTAAGAACAACACACACTGCAACACTGGACGGCTCATTTGTGGAGGAGACGTGTCACCTCCACAATCATGGGAGCATGAAAAGATTTCCATGTAACCTGAGCTGCGTTAGTCGTGTGCCAGATTAATTTTAGGAGAGTGTGTTTGTCTTGTTAAGAACTGTATTTTCGTTTCCTAAGCAAGAACATGAACATTGTTCCAGGAGTTAAGCTATAACTCAGTCTTAACCCAGAGTAGGTGAGTGGACTCAATTGGACGTGATTCTGAACCGACCACAATGTCTGACATTTATTTCTGCATCGTTATTGTAACTATACCTATTTCTCAAAGTAATCACCCTATTTAACATGTTCATTACACACCTTCATCAAAAATCGAAGGTGCATGTCGTAAAAAGAGAGCACTTGAACTATCCAGTCACTCAAAGTCCCCTCACCTCAAATGTAGCAAATGGAATAATCCCCAAGAAAATTCATATTAGGATGGACTTAGTCTTGCATTGTGAAGGAAAGAATAGTGTATAGCACTGCTAAGTACTGCAGTAGTTCTTTGTCATGATGAAGCGTACGATTTTATTAGTTTATTTCTTTTGAGGTGTTTAGGTGGGGAGAAAACGCTGTCACATCCCCGGTGAATTCCACAGTTCTGTGCGAACCCGTGGGGACAGGATTGCTAAGCAAAGCTTCCTCTGAATAAAGCTTCCAGAGAAAAACGTAAACTACAGTCAGGCTCTGCCTGAATCAGGTGGTTCTGCAGCTTCAAAACAAGCACAGCAGGTGTCGCCTCAATGATTACTACTTTTGACAGGTAAAAAACAAATTAAGCCAGGGAGCTTGGAGCAACTTCCAATCCCGCATGACAAGAGGGAGAGACAGTTTTCACACAACCAGCTGAACGACAGGAAAGGAACCTTTTCTAAAAATAAACAATCCTTCCGAATAGGTTTGCATATTGTGGAGACAAACAAATTGGAAGGATATTGAGACGGTATTCAAAAGAGTGCAGACTAGATGAGTTGAATGGCCTCCTCTTTCCTTTGTAAGGTTCCCTGAGCTGTGTCCAGACATTTTCTAAAACCTCTGCAGGGCACACAGAGACACGAACACGCACACTCACACCAGGGCCAATTCTCCCAGATGCCAATTAATCTCCCAGCATGTCTTTGGACTTTGGGAGGAAACCGGAGCACCCAAGAGGAGACCCCCACACTCACATGGGGAGAACATACAAACTCCACACAGACAGCACCCCCTGTCTGGAATTGAAGTCAGTGCCCATTGCACCCGCCCACCTGCCCTCCTGTTTCCTAAGCCTATCTGAGGTGCCCGTTCAACAGCAAATGCTCCGGCTTCATTTACAATAGAACTAGAGAGGAAGAAGCAGCAGATGACATTCCAAATGATTTAGTTATATTTCAAGAATAGGTAAACACCTGACAGATAATGGTAATGTTCGATAGATGCTTATGGCATTTGTCTTTTACAATCTTGCAAACTATCCAATAATTCTCATGTGCTGAGCAAATACAGCATGTGCTTTCTTCAGTGTGTGCAGCATTGGTAGACATCACATAATTGAGTATGAAGTACTGGTTGGCACCTTGAATCTGCAGCAAGGTTGTTGGCATTTCTTCATTCTGATTTTGACTAACTTTATTTTCCCGCAGTTAATATACAGTATCCTAGTGACTCAAAGTTGAAAGAAACGTACAGGACACACATTCAAGGTTTTCTGGTGGAAACTGTTTCTTGACAGATGGATTCGTGAAATGCCTCTTTAGTTGTACACACCTGAACATTTTCCCTATCCTCGCATGTTGGTAAACATTTCAGTGCTGATGCCAAATCTTTATTCTATGCATGCTCCATGCTATCTGGGGAAAAATATTGAGGTAGTGAATGGAAAACCATCCTTCTCTGTGCCTGCATACAACCTTTTTGTGGTACACATGGGTGAGAGCTGACCTAAGGGGAGGGAAGCAGAGAGATTAGTGTACAAACTTGGCAGAGACTGAGAACATTCGTAAACTCTGCATACTTTGTAACTTGCTCTGGATTTAAAAGTATGGTCACCTATAACACAAACTTTTGAGACAGTTTAGAAAATTTACAATTATGAAACCTTAAGGCTCACTTTCTAACTGGGCGCACTGGTGGAAGAGAAACCAGAGGACACCAGACCCTCCAAGAGCCGAGTCTGACACCCCTGGGCTGGCTGTCCCTGAATGACCCCATCTCATTTGCAAACTTTATGATGACATTCAAAATGATTTAGATAAGGCTGACTGCGAAACTGGTAAATAAATCATAAAAGTCTTCCTGCACCACTCATGGAGAAGCAGTGTGGTGTTAGAGCAGGGATGTTGTTGTTAGAGATGTGGGAGGTCTTTACTGAGGATGCACTGAAGCACCAGAGACAGGGTGGACAGCGTGGACAGCGTGTGAGGTAATTCCAGATGTGCATCCCACTTGGGTGCACAGCTGGACGGCCCTTCCGGAAGTAGGGAGACGGGGATATCGGGGAAGAGGGGTGGAGGTGAGGGGGCTGGGAGAAGGCAATCGTGTTTTAGAAAAATAAACCTTCCAAGGAAATTAAGCAAAAGCACGCTAACCAGTCCTTGGGCTCCCATCTTGCTTGTTTAAAGTTGAAATTGTTGTTCACCCCCTCCTACTTCATGAGCTACGGCTCTTGTGAACAAGTGTGTGAAGATCAGAGATGTGTTCTAGGAGACAGCAGTGGTCTCGGGAAAAGTCCGTCGTTAGCAAAAACTGACTTAACATTCTGCTAAGGCTAAATCAATGTCCTTTTTTTAATTTTAGACAATATTGAGTATTGGTAATGAGAGATATTAGCTATTTTGTAATGTTTTAACACTGTGCATCTCTCTCTGCAGACTCCCCTGCCAGAGGAGCTGGACGCCCAGGACACAATGAGACAGGTGAGTGTTGCCGTGGAAACGACACTGGGGGATCCAAGCACAGCCTCTCCAGCAGGCCCCCATCCGCTGTCTGCAGAGCCTGACTGCCATCAAGAGAAGATGGGCCTGTTTTCCGGTCACGATTTTGTGCCTTTCCTCCAAAGCAGTGATTCTGGGTTCCGGTTCTGGCCCTGGATCTCTGTGTCTGCTGGGTATTGATCTATCGGCTGGTATAAGAACCAGAGGATGCAGGGCTACTCCAGGCCCAGGATGGTGAACCACAGTTCTGAAGATATGGAAGGAGGCTTGAAGAGATCTCAGTTTTCATTAGGCCTCCTAATCAGTGCTTTTGAACCCTTGTGCTGGAGAGTCACAAGGTCCTCACTGGTTTGTGTGCTTGGATTTTGCAAGTTGACGTGTTGAAAAGCCACAGCATGTTCAATCAGAGGAGCGCTGTAGTTTCCCAGACCACAGCTGCAGACGCTCGGCTGCCTTGAGTCTGGGTCTGTGAGGTTTCAGCTTTAGAAATGGAACGATTGAAAACCAGGGTAAAAAAAGGCTTAAACTGAGTCCGAAATCCCATCAAGAGGGATCCCAGCGGGGATAAGGAGGGACGGGCTCATGCTGTGTTGCTGTATCGGTGATTGTCGAGCCCCGAGTTCTGTTTGCCCTGCCCGAGCTTTGTTGACTCTGGAAGTGCAGGTCTTGCTTTGTTTTTTTCATTCCTCCCCTCTGCTGTAATTAGTGCCCAGTAATTTCCTCCGCTTCTGTCTGGGCTGTAAAATTCCAGGCGCAGCAGCCGAGCCCTGGCAAGAGGTCTAAAGTGCACTCCAGCGTCAGGAGCAGCCAGCCTCACACCCCCTCTCTTATCACAGTGGTGCTGGAAGAACAATCGGCTTCAGACACGTTCTGATAAGCACAGCTTCCAGCCTGCCGCAGCTTGGGATCTGACCCTCCAGCCTGCTGCTTCTCACCGTGCTGCGCCCAGGCTCAAGCACGCACAGACGCAAGCCGAGGGTACGTTCTCAGACAGCTTTGAGCCAGGGCTGTCCCTGTTCCACATGCAAGCTGATTCTGAGCGCTCTGGCCGACGCTGAGCGAGGCGCCTGCAAAGAACCGGAGCTTGCAAAGCTCACTTGATTATGGCCAGGGTTGGGTTTTCCCTGATGTTTTCAAAAAATAACGTGCCTTCGAAAAAGCAGCGCCATAGAGTTCTGATTATACAGTATATCCTTCATAGCAGCGTACTGGGACCTTGTACTTCTTTTGCATTCCAAAACATAAGCTGAAGTTCGACAAAACAAAAGGTGACTGAAATGAAACCGGTTTTGTTGTCTTCAGTTGTCTTTGCCTCACGGATCAGCGCAGCAGCTTGCCTGAGTGTCCAGTCTCTGCTTCTGAAGAAGTGGGAAGGGGAGCAGTAGTAGCCCAGATCTGAGGTTTTCAGAATGTGTAGGAACAGGTTTAATATAATGATAACAATAGTAATAATTGAAAGTGCGTTATAGGTAATGAAGACTCTCCTCCACCCTCACCAATGTGTAGCCTCACCTGGATGATGTGACAGCAGCCACCTGCTCCAGTACTCTCCCCACACACCAGCTATCAGTGGGGAGGAGAACAGAGTGATGAAGCCAGTTCAGAGATGGGGATTATTAGGAGGCCATGACTGGTAATGGCCAGGGGAATATTTGGCAGTTTGTTTGCCGAAATTTAATTTGCGAGTGGTTCGTCAGAAGCAGAGGCAGGGATGTTGACAGAATAAACATGCGTATTTCGCTAGCATGTTGACTCGTGGGAGCGCAGTACACCAAGAGCAGGCTGGGTAATGACTAATACCCTCTTTAATTAGACCTCGCTGAAGGTCTCGAGTCCTGCCGATTTGGAGAGCATCCCAGCGAGGGTGGCTGAAAAGGTTCTGAGGCTGATGCAGATGGCTGGTAGCTGTTGTATTTATGAAGGTGTGTTGTTTGTGCAGTATTTGGAAAAACATACAAGGCGGCCATGTGATTAAACGGAGTCAAGAACCTCATTAATAAACCGCTTTCAGCTCTGGTGAACGAGACTTTGGGGAAAGTATTCTGTCCCCCATGCGTGCAGGAGGCCATCATGAGAAATTAACAGTCCTTTGATGCCTGCGATCACTGCAGAAACAGAATATGTATTCATAACGATTTTTTTTGATGAATCACAGTCTGCTCATGCGTGATTAATCTTGAAGCACAGACTCCGAAGCTCAAAAGTGTCATTGTTGCACCTCCTTACAGCCCGCGCCACATGTAATCCAACAGCCAAGTTGCAATATTCGAAACGCCAGAGGGGTTCATAAGAGCTGGGAGTGCTGTTGCACTCTGGGGGGTGCTGATTTGAGCTTGCAGTGTGCACGGTCTGGCCGGGGCAGCTGTTTACACGCTGCACAGGTTTATAGCACCACTGTGCCGGCTTGCAGCCAAAGCACGCAAGTACAAGCGGGGTGGTGTTTTTCTGACAAGATCTTTGTTGCATGTTGGCTGCGAGTCAGTTTTACTCCTACATGCTGGAAGAAAAGGAGCTTAATGCTCTCAGGATAATGAGATTGTCAGTACAGGCAGATACAATGTAGGTTTCCTCACCCTAGCACTTGTGCCTGAGCGTCAAGCATTACGACATCTTACAGCAAAGCCATCTGCAGCTGCCTGTACTCTCAGGTTAGGCCTGGCTGGCATTGTGTGTGTGCTCATCTCCTGCCTCATCCGCCTCTTAAACGATCCTTTGGTGTCACTCCTTAAATATGATTGCAGATAACTTTGTAAGTCTGTAGCTCTAGGGAGGAAAATGGTGATTTATGCAGGCATTCAACATCAGACACCATTATCCCCAAATCTTACAGTACATCTGCAAAACATTAGATCTCCCTTTTGGTAATAATGAATTAATTATTTATAGAGGTCAATTGCAAACAGATAATTGACACTTCTATGACGTGAGTCATGTATACATACTGTATGTGTACTGTATACATAGTATAATATAGTAATATGAAGTCCTATTAAAATTATCTTGTTATGCACTCTAGAATGTGATTTGATAATCTGCAATCTACCAGTATCTTAATGACAAGATCAAATAATTTGCTCAAGACACACCTGAAGAAAGGCAAAGTAAAAACCATTCAGTCTGTTTACAGACGCCCCCTTGTTAAACTCCTCAAAGAACTGTCCGCTATCAAACAAATTGAAAAAGAATTGGCAGGGAGGGATTGCGTTGTTTGGAGTTTTATTTTCTGCGTGTCACTTTGTGGTGCTGCAGAGCAAAGTCTTTTCCAGTCAATGCAAAGAGGAGAGCACGCCCTGCTTGCGTCGAGCTGAATGAAGGGCTGGCTAGATCACAGCAAGAGTATTTACTGGCAGGTGTCGCGTGGCCCTGTGAGAGTGGTATTAGCCAGCGCAGGTGAAGGCGAAGCTGTGTGTGCCCTGCGATGACCTGGCATCCTGTCCAGGGTGTGTCCAGCCTTGCGCCCGTTGCTTGCCGGGTTAGGCTCCAGCAGCACAGGCTGTTGCCACCCATTGTGTTCTGGTTTTGTTTTTGTATTTTCCGTCCAATAACAGATCCCACTCTCCGGCACAGCACGCGTGACTCCGCTCTTGCACACAAAGGCAGTCCTGTTTCGGCATTTCGAAGAGGCCCGGTTAGCGCTGGTGTCCTGCTGAACAGAGCTCATTGAGCCGTTGAAATCTTTCCACTTTGGTTGTCTTATCCTAACACACAGGATTCCGAGGAATTCTGTATCCAAGGAACCACAGTGTGTTTTTCTTCTTTTTTTTTTCCTCCTCTTTGGACATGCATTCCCAGAATCCCTCCTGAAGTCATGGGGTTGATGCAAGACTCCCAGTACTTCTTATTTATCTCCAGGTTACTACAAAGAAAAATAATTTTGCAGAAAGCGAACCCACTGTCTTTATCAAAACATGTATCTCTGCAAGAGCCTGGCCTAGGAGAAATATGAGTGACCAGGGGTTACAAAAAGACAGTACTTCTGCAGTACAGAAACCTCTGATTCCTTTGACTGGAAGGCACCGATTTAATAAGATTTGTCTGCACCTTCTCCTAAGCCTGACGTAAATGAGATGGTTCTCTTAATCAAGCCATGTGAATTTTCATTTTGTGTTTGTTGGTTTTATAGCGAGGGATCAGAGCTTTGCAGAATAATGGAGATAGCTATGTGGAGCGGCAGACATGTTTTGGGACTTGTAACTGGAAAGTTGTACTGTAGGTTCAAATCTTGGGTTATGATCTGCCGTTGTTTCCTTGGTCGAAGTACTTCACTGAGACTGCTCTACCAAAATGCCCATCTGTGCAAGTGGGCCCAAATGTTAAATCACTTGATTATATCATTGGATAAAAGTGGCAGCCAAATTAATTAAGATTAATGGCTTTGGATCCTATGTCCTAACCTATGTCCTAGGTAATCTATAACCATGGACAACAGAACAGTCTGCCTTTTAGTTTTTATTGCAAGGAGGTGCCTGGTCATGGTAATCATGTGCAAACAATCACATCACACCACTGTCACGAACAATTACATCAGTGTGTGTCTCGCCCCCTCCATTGTGTACTTACACTACTCCCATCTGGGTGATGTCTCTGTGTCCCCAGGTGTAAAAGTAACACCTAGGAAGTCTTTCATCCCCTCTGCAATATCTCTCTCAAACAATGTAAAATCTCCTGAAACAGTTTTGTATCAGCTCTGTTGGTAATGTTTGTCTATCTAATTTCCCCCAGAGGATGAATCTTGAATTGCATTGAAATTGAATTGAAAAAATGTCACAGAATCTCGATGTCTGGGTACGCCCGTGGGATTGTACCACATTATCTGTCACAGTGTTCCCCCCATCAAGAAGATACTATTGTAATATAACGCTGCCCTAGACTAGGACTGTTAGCCCTTCATTTGCTCCTCTATGGACAGCATGTTTAGTCCATTGTACTTTTTGGACAATCAGTCTGCATAAACCTATGCAAATTTTGCACACATTATATTG